CAAATAATTATCCTCCACCTTTGTTCTTTCCCCCGCGCCGGGTTCTTTTTTTGGGGGGGTGGGGGGGTTAGTTGAATACAAAGAGAATAGATAGTGATTAATTTCCATTCCTAACTGCATGTATATATACTACATTTAGAATAATTCAGCATTCTTTTTAATTAGTCTGTTTAGAAAAAACTCATTAATTAGAATAATGTATACTCTACTTTTTTCAATACACTGTATTAATTAGAATAATCTATATTATACTTTATTTTAATAAGTTTTATTTTTCGACGAAACAGGAACAGCTAAAGCTCTATTTTCAACGAAACAGGAATACTAGAAAAAAAAACTTTCGACGAAACGGGAACTAACCAAACGCAAGACGCAAGAAAATGAAAGAAAAAATTTTCCGTTCTTCCGATATTCGTATTTGGCAGAACAAATATATACGAAAGATGAAACAGAAAAAAACTTTAAAAAGTATAGTCACATGTTGGATAGGACGCAAAAGAATGACGTATCTCATCCCTAATTCACACTACTATGTTGCGAGGTGTGAATTGTCGTAGAAAAATTAATTTCCAAAGAACATAGAGTTCATCATATATAACGCTTAAATTAATGAGAAACAATATGATAATTAGATGATAGAAAAATTGCACTATTAGTTAATACAACTAACAAATTAAATTTTTATTTGTATTGTTTTGAGTTCTATTTTAGGCAAAAATAAACTGTTGCAGAAATGGTAGAAGAAATTAGTAGACATTAATTGAAACAAAATATTTTGATTTGTATTATGAAGAAAGTAAGTTAATTTACCGCTAACGTTGCAAATAAAATAATACTTTTGGCTTCAACTGAATTATTTTTTAAACTTGTCTCTTGTGATGATGTTGTTTGTGAGACTAATATGATAGGTAATGATAGTTGCTGAGTTCCTGCTGATAAACATGGATCTGATAGACTATTAATTAATAATAGATAACCTGTACAAGTTGTTAAAGAACTATTTTGCATACCAATATAAAACAGACGATTATATGATAGAGACTTATAATCAAGAAGTGTTACATTTTTTGAAGACATTGTTCTTGTTCCAATCATAAATAAAGCTAAGTATTCATTAGTAAACCAATTTTGCCAGTAAAGATCCTGATTAGTCACATCAGCTAATATCAAACTATTTAAATCGTTATGTGAAGTGTTTAAACCAACACCCATCCATAACCATTTATACATTGTTAAATTTCGCTGCCATTTTGACATATATTCCGTTTTAATTATTGAAATATTTGTTAAATCATTTCTTGGTGGAGTAAAACTTGAACTATTTGAATAAATTGCAGTTACATTGAGATTAGACGACTGATTTGTAAAAATATTTAAGAATAAATAAAATATAGTTGTTTGGTTAGCTTGTAACGATGTTATATTTGTTGCATTAGATAATGGTAGCAATATAACTTGTGAAGAAAGCGATACTACCACATAAACATAATCTGTTATCAGTCGTGATCGAAAATAATATAAATCAGCTGTTAAATTTAAATGCCATTGTTGTGGATCAACAAATTGTATATTTGAATATATTAAACAATTTTTATTTAAACGATTATATTCAACTGAAATACATGTTGATAATTTAAAACCTTGAAATAAACATGTCATATTTGTTTGATTAATAAATGTTGTTATTGGTATATTATTCTGTAATATTGAAGCGTTATGTATATGCATTAATGATGTTGTTGACACAATTTTCAGTATAGATAATATCAGTAGAAAGTGCTTCATATTTTCACTATGAATTTGAATATGAAATAAAAGAAAAGAAAAAAACAGACTGCCTTTCTTTTTAACTAAATGACATAATATATATTATTAGTTTTCTTTTTAAATGAGGAAAAATCTGTTGCTACCAGAAAAAAAATTATTTTGATCAAGATATACTTAAACGTGAGCAAGGTGCGTTATTATACTTTTTGGTTGGATCTATAAGGGTTTTTGGGCATATCAAGAAGGCGCTATTACCACTCATAAGGAGTATCAACAAGAGACTATTGACTCTTTCTAGCAGTGGCAATAAAGTGCTACTGGTAGTTCCAGCAATTGTGTTGATGTATCACACTGTAAGAACTAAAGTGTGCCTAAAATACATTGAACTTGCACATCACTTTGATTCGCAATTTCACACCTAGAAGTCGACAGTGTGATGTGCCAGAAACACACTGGCAGAATTTACATACCTGCCCTTATAGACAGATTTTTACACACCTAGCAAAAAACACTCCAGTTTGATTCGTGTTTTCGCCAGAGGTGGGCAATGAACTGTTTTTAGCTCCAGCGTGGGCCTTGCCTCATTCAATTCTTGCTTCGTCATCGCCCCGTCCCTCGTGAAGTTTTCAAAAATTCTTGCGCCGCCCCGTAAGCTTTCTGCCTTGTCACCTCCTCGCCCATCGTCAGCTATTGGCAAACCTTTTCGCACGTCTTCATGGATCTTCCTGAGTCCAATGCACTAAACATTAAGATGTTAATAATAGCAAATTGCCGACGACCAATACACATCGTAGATATACGCGTGCGCAAGAAAACGAAAGAACATTAGAACTACAGTAGACAACAAAAGAGAAAATACATAGGCTGAACAGATTATTCTATTAACCCTTTACCCCCATTTACGCCATTCTCGATCCATTCGTAGAAATAATGTAGTGGAGTAGCAAAGGAAAATGAGAGAGAGAGAGCAAATCCGAAAAAATTGAAAATCAAATAACTAGGATGTCTTATATTCAGAGCACGTAACACGAAGACAGAATAACAAATAAAATAAGATAGAAATAGCCTTTACAATCGACAACTGTTACTGTTACAGCTTTAGCTTCCACTTGAGGAAACTGCAGTGTGCAAGGTAGATGTTCCCTATTAAACAAACGTATTTTTCAAGTGAACTGGAAAGAATTCCATCTTGTGTCTCCATTTGGTCTTTCTATAAGAGACAAAAACGTCTCCCGCGGGCTTCGCCTCGTGCAGCTCCTGCCTCGTCATCGGCTCGTCCATCGTCAAGCTTCCAAAAATTCTTCCCCGAGGGATCTCGCGAGGATCCGCGTCCATCGCCCACCTCTGGTTTGCACACTTAGAACTTTTACACATTTACGGGCACACTTTATGTTTACAGTGCACTTAGAAACTATTGGCACACCCATACAAAAACCTTTGCTGGAAGTATCAGCAGGCAGATTGCTGCTATCACCAGGCAAACTTATTGTAAAAGTTGCGTCGAAAAATCATAGGGAGCTCACACCGTTAAATGACAGTTACCACTTTAACATACCTTCATCTACAGTGATCAAGCGATATAGACACATAATTTATTTTCTGGCTGCAACTAAAATCTTTAATCATTTAAAAAGAAAAGCTTTTTAATTAATAATATATATCATGTCATTTACCATTAGTTGAAAAGAAAACACCTTTTTTCCTTTTATTTTGTTTCATTTCATAATCAAATTCAAAGTGAAAATATGAATATATTCACCTTTTCTGTGAAACGGATGAAAAACAGAACGAACGTTTTCCGGAAAAGATATAATATCACGCGTAAAATAACTTCCCCCCTTTGACATCCGGTGGTTTTAATAGTCCTTTCGTCTCATTAATTTCAGTTTGATTATATTGGTTTCATATCGCTTTAAAAGAGCAGCCTTTCTTTTATCTCATTCTGAAGTTAGCTGTGTTTGAAAAGGGCAAACAAGATGGTCAAATGACCAATGGTGTAACGTTTGAGTGAATCTACTATAGTGACACTGATGCAGTTCAAGATTAAAAGCTGTGCCACAAATTCAATGGATGGAACGGTTGAATAGTTTAATATTGTATTTTTGCAGTGTCTCATGGCGTCCTCAGGGAATATCTCAGCAGATCAGAGATATTTGGCTTTTGTAAAGAAGTTTCAGGTTTTCTCCTGGAATCTGACAATTTCTTCCAATGAATTTGCGGCGCAGCTTTTAACCTTGAACTGCATCAGTGTTACTATAGCAGATTTACTCAAACGGCACACTATTGATCAGTTGACCATCTTGTTTGGCTTTTATCAAAGACAGTTAACTTCAGAGTTAGATAAGAGAAATGTTGCTCTTTAAGAACGCTATGGAATTATTAAAATAAAAACTGAAGTGACACGAGATGTCAAAGAGTGGAAGTAATTTTACGCGTGATGTTATATCTTTTCAGGAAAACGTTCGTTCTGTTTTTCAAATGTTTCACAGAAAAGGTGAATATATTCATATTTTCACTTCGAATTTAAATTTGAAATGAAATAAAAGGAAATAAAGAATTGTTTTTTCATATAATGGAAAATGACATGATATACATTATTAATTAAAAAGCTTTTCTTTTTAAGTGATGAAAGATTTAGGTTGCCACTAGAAAATAAATTATTTTAATTAACCTGTATTAATCAAATAAC